CTACTGACAATTTCCTAAAACTACTGACAATTTCCTAAAACTACTGACAATTCCCTAAAACTACTGACAATTTCCTAAAACTACTAACAATTCCCTAAAACTACTGACAATTCAATTTCCTAAAACTACTGACAATTTCCTAAAACTACTGACAATTTCCTAAAACTACTGACAATTTCCTAAAACTACTGACAATTCCCTAAAACTACTGACAATTTCCTAAAACTACTGACAATTTCCTAAAACTACTGACAATTCCCTAAGTACAGCTACAGTGGATCTCCCTATGATGCTGTAATGCACAGTACCTGTATCAGTTTATACTTGAGTCCTGTTCAAGTGAATACTGCTGATGTCATTTCTATTTAAACAAGGCAGAGTATTGCAAGGCAATCCATAGTTCCCCGCCGGTAAAGATTTCTATATTTAACAAACAGTACACTTATGTCAGGAAGCATAGGTCACAGTGAGGTTATAGTGACCTACTTCTTGCACTCCGCCACCCCAAGGTGTCCTTGTACAGAAGATATGCCCCAGACAACATTTTTATGAGATAAGGTCAAATGTGAAGTCATAAGTCATAGTGACCTAATTATTGCACTCCGCCACCCCAAGATGTCCTTGTACACCAAATCTGGTTACTCCAGGTGAAAAAGTATAGAAGATATGCCCTGGACACACTTTTTCAAAAGTGAAGGTCAAAGGTCAAGTCATAGGTCAAATTGACCTTATTCTTGCAGTCTACACTCTGTCATCCCAAGATGACCTTGTACACCAAATCTGGTTACTCCAGGTGAAATATTATAAAAGATATGTCCCTGGCAAACTTCTTGGATGGAAGGACGGAGTGCAAACCTCTAGTCCTCCCCACAGGAAATGGTGGGGGACCAATAATTACATCCACTCATAAACCTACATACAGTTAACATCACTCTATCCGTATTTATACTAACGATTCCCTTATTTCTTTAGTTGAGAACACATAACAGTTACCATGACACAGATATACATGTAATGGTTACCATGACACAGATGTATACATGTAATTGTTACCATACACAGATGTATACATGTAATGGTTACCATGACACAGATATACATGTAATGGTTACCACGACACAGATGTACATGTAATGGTTACCATGACACAGATGTACATGTAATGGTTACCATGACACAAATATACATGTAATGGTTACCATGACACAGATGTATACATGTAATGGTTACCATGACACAGAT